TCTTTATCATATCTAGAATGTATTTGCGTGTATGAAAACCAGTTCATTCTTATACCTTGTTATTAAACTGGGAGAAGATTAAAAAGCAACATTATTGAAAAATCCCAGTCTGGTTATCAACTATTGAAGCATTTTCATATTCAATAATATACAAAAAGGAGCAAACAGTTAGATATGGTGAAATATTGAATGCAGAGGGTGAACTTAAATCTATGCAAGGATTAGAAGAACAAGGTATAAGAATGAACTGGTTTTCATACACGCAAATACATTCTAGATATGATAAAGATTTTAAAATAAAAGGTTTTTATGATAAAATGATGGACTTGGATAAAATTCTGACAGGTACTAATGAAAAGGTGATTAAATAATTATATGGATATTTATTAAAAGTTACACTAGAAGAAGAACAAGTTGGAATCTATTATTAGGGGGGGGAATGTTGGTCATGGAATTGATTTAGAGAAATGGCAAAAATTATGGTCACAAAATTATAAAATGACAATGTCAACAGCACATAAAGAAAACTTCTATAAGATGTTTTACAGGTGGCATTTACCCCCAGCGAGAATAGCAAGAATTTTCAAGGACAAATCAGAAAAATGTTAGAAATGTCATCAGATACAGGGTTCATGTTACCATATGTGGTGGACATGCGGAGAAGCTAAAAGATATTGGACTAAAATCCACACTTGGCTGTAAAAAAATGACTCAGAAACATATAGACTCTAAACCTGTGATTTTTTTATTGGGAATATTACCGGAAATATACAATAGAGAATTGAAATATTTGATTGTAAATATGTTAACAGCAGCTAGAATTGTACTTGCTAAAAATTGGAAGAATGAGAAAATACCAACGCCAAGGAGGAAGTTATTCAGAAAATAATGAATGTGCTGAAATGAGTAAATTGACATTTGAAATTAGAGAACAAGAAGATGAACAATTTTATAAGGGGTGGGATTTATTTTATCAGTGGTTAGATAAAAGAAACGTCTGTCTAGGAGACATAATAGAATGATATAGAATATATTACAAAGGTACATTATTATTGAATAGATTCAGGATGATGTAATGAAATGTTATAAAACAAATGAATCCAATGCCTAGAACATTTTATTCAAAATGAAGGAATAATAGTTATAGCTAAACAAATGATGTACAATGATAATAATGTATACATATATACTCGATGGATAATCTGTGATTTTATATACAATTGAAAGTGGGGATCATGGAAAGGATGCACAAAAACTCTGCATCCAAGCGACATGCTGTATGTGATTGAAGAGGGTTTAATGTTTTACATTTTGCTTGTCTTTGTCTGTCTAAAAATAAAAACTTTTACAAAAAAAAGAATGGTGTCCTTTTCATCCATCTATCTATCTATCTATCTATCTATCTATCTATCTATCTATCTATCTATCTATCTATCTATCATCTATCTA